CCCGTTGTCTATTTCATGCCTTGTCAAGTCATCTTTCTCTCTGAGCTGAAACCCTAACCCCACCATCCCCTCCAACCCCCATGTGTCTCAGCTTCTCACAACAAATGTTTCTACTTCTCCTGCCTTAGGCAGACCAGGGAGCAGAATGTGGCTGTCTCTTCTGCTTGTGTTTTGTGATGGCAGTTTGTGGGGGAGGGGGTAGGGGCGGCCTATCTGGGCAGAGAAGATGGAAGTGTCCACTGCATGGGGGCACGAGGATAGAGGACACAGTCCTCCCCCCTCAGACCAATTCCCAGTGGATGTTCAGTGACTACCAAGGGCTCTTGTTACTTTGCTTGGCCTCCAGCAAAGGACCATGAAATAACCATCTCTACCCTTCTCCTCCTCAGCTCACCTCACCCTGCCCCACAAGTGGTCATACCCCTTCCTGTGATGGTCTTTGTCTCACTTCAAAATGTCTTCCTTTCTTGCTGACAAGGATCAAAGTCATGGGCCTCTTGCCTGTGGTACCTTTCATCTCTTAATGTAGGTAGTAGCACAAAGATAACTTCTACTTCCAGGGCAGAGGTTAAAGAGGAGATAGACTTTTAGCAGAATGGTAGTTAGTAAGGGTTGGGGTAGGGAAGAAAGGAATTTTTTGTTTGATGGGTACAGCGTTTCAGTTTGAGGTGATAAAAAAAGTTCTGGAGATGGTTGCACAGTAATGTAAATTTACTTAATCCCACTGAATTGTACACTTTAAAATGGTGAAAGAGGTAAGTATAATGTTATTTATTTTTTCCACAACTTAAAAAAAGAAGTTATCCTTTCAAAAAGTATTTCCAGTCTTAGAACTCTGCTGTCGTGGGAGGACAAGATTTAATTTTCCAGAATAATTCTGATCTGAAGTCTTGATTTACTTAATATATGGAATGTTTGTAATTACAGAAGGAATACATTTAGCATTTTGATGAAAGTATACCTAATTTTTTTTCTCAAGAGCTTTGTGCAGCTATTGAAGAGGTGACTAATATTATTGATAAGTTGATTAATTAACTGAAAAAGCAGTATGAAGCGGATGTTGACAAAGATGCTCAGAATGAGATATTTAGAGATTCCTCCCCACAATGAGAACTATGTGGATATTATTCCTAGGTAATTGTATCCTACTTTGGATTATCTCAAAACATTAAGTAAAAATAAAAATGAAAAAGAATATGATAAATTGCAGAGGGCCAGAAGGATACCCACTGGGATGATTACAGAGTTGGTAAATATGACCCGTGAACAAATGTCAAAGGAATTGATAATACCTGCTATTTTACGATGACTTTAAAGAGTGCTTCAAATATGCAGTAGTCATTGTAGTGACCAGAGGACAAAAGGGTGTGTTGTTAAGTGAAAACAAAATGTGACCTGACTCTTCTACACTAGTGTATGTATAGCTTGGAAGCTAGAGTCAGCTATAGTCACCACAGTTTTTCAGAGTTCCATAAAGACCAACTATGGATTATACAACAAAGGGAGATAAGTCTTATGACAAAAGCCAAAGGAGTTTTTAAAAGAAACAAAACGTTAAATGAATTACTCTTGACAGTTAAAAGGCTGAACGTTGTAAAAACATGTGAAAAGCTAATCCTTTGTGTCTCATGGCTCAAACAAAAGGAAATGTGCATAAAGACAAGATATAAAATATTGGCTGGGTATAAAAAGACTCCTCAAGTGTCAGATTAACAAATGAAATGAACTTCACAGGGAGGTTGCGGAATCTTCTCTCAAGGGTCTTACAAATAAGGCAGAGTATTATGCTGCATGGAATAGTAGGTACAAACCACTGTCACCCCAGAATGGAGTAGGAATAAACAGTAGAGTCAGGTGACCCAGAGACTTTATAAGGGCAACAAGGAATTCTTACCAGTTAAAAAATACTAAGAGAGGAGAAACTGGTCCTGAAAAAAATGGAATGAGGGTGGGCAAATTTGTTTTTCTTCTCAAGCACGAGGACACATGGTGTGCTCTGGGGGTATCATGGTGACATTCTGGCCTCTTCTGTATTGCTGACATGCCAGCCCCCGTATGCCAGTTTGGGAGGGAGCTGTGTGTACAGAAAGGATGTTGGCTGACAATCTAAAACCATTATTACTGTCATCTTCTGGAAAGAGGGAGGCACATACTGGACACCACTCTCTCATAGAAATTTCTAAAGAAATTTCTATTATATAATCAGGACCATGATAATAAATTCTTAAGCCATCTAAAACTTCAGTTTTGGAAAATTATTCTGGAAATTTTGCATTGGATTCCAGCATACGAACAGAAGCAAGTCATCCATGCTCAACAAGCCTTGTCAATACTTATGTCTCTAGCCATCAATGGAAGGTGGCAGCGGACAGGCTGAGAACCATCTCCTAGGGGGAAGTTGTATATGCATTCACATGATTGGGCAGTTAACACTAGTAGTCATTCTTCACATGAACAGAGAAACACAGTCGGAGTTTTTAAAAGCATGATGCCGTCTTTCGAGGGTCTAATTAGATGCATATTTGATATACATGCTTTGTCTTCCTAGACTCTCACATTATTACTTCAGTTGCTGTTTATCATAGATATGAAATCCAATTTAATTAAAAGAGGATGATAAATCTACCACGTGTACAGTTAGCTGGTGGTTGGCATAGCTAACTCTTGGGACCCCAGTCAGTTGTGGATCCAGGTGCATGAATGCCACCTTGTATACATCTATGAACTGACAGGAGTCACACTGGCGAGGCTAACCTTACTCTTGAGCAGAGTGTGTTTCCATATGGCAGTACTGGCGAAGTCCAGAACGTCATTCATGTGTCCTGGTGCCTGAACAACCCTTTTGGAGAGTCATTCCTTTTTGTTCCTTTGGAGTCTTCTCTCTGAAGGTTCTATTTAAAAATACAAATAAACTGAGGACAACATTATAGGAATTCGGACACAGAGAAGGATTGTGGCTTGTTATGTGTACTTTCCTCTGGCATCAGAGCCCTGTGATATTGGCAGAAACATAACGACTGAGAAGCATATACCCAGGCATTCATTTCTTCATTCAGTCACCATTTGTTGAGCACCTACTGTGTGCCATGCACTGAGCTACATGATGTTGTTCCTGGCTGCAGAAGGCTCACAGTCTGCTGGAGAGACAGACACATCTGCACAGTGATGGAGAGAGGACCTGGGGCACAGAGTAGAGTGGGGGATGACATTAGGTTGGATGTTAATTGCTGAAGGATTGTAACTCCAGGCTGGGTTTTGAAAGGTGAGTGGAGTCTGCTAGCTAGAGAGAGGCAGGATCAGGGTCCTTTCTTTTTCTGACCCTGACAGAATATCTAGGCATCCTCATCAGAATGTCATAGGGTCACAGGGCTAGAGGAGCTGTGGGTTGCTTAGGAGATCACCAGAACATGACCTCTGCCTAGAGACTAGGAAGCTCCCCCCTGGACTCCTCTGGGCACTGCTTTCAAGCAGTTCCAAGAGAAAGGGGAGGAATCCTTAAGACAAATCTAATCACTTTGCCTGGGGAAGACTCACTCTTGGGCCAGCTTTTAGTGCATCTAATCCTTTTTTGGAAGGAATTAAAAGGGAACACCTGGCTACTTATTTTATTTTCATCTAAAACCACTCGCCACCACTTGAGAATAATTATCTTGTGTTTTGTTTTGTTCTTGATGTCCTGCATATTATTACTCTCTTCAACTCTGGAAATCACCTTTCCATGATTAAGAGCACAAATTCTGGAGCCAGACTGCCTGAGTGTACATCCTGGCCCAACCACCAGTTATTCACCCTTTCCCTGCCTCAGTTTCCCCAGGTGTAAATGGGGGTTATTATGGTTTCTACTTCATTGAGGTTTTGTGGGGCTTCATTGAGTTGGTCACATAAAGCATTTAGAACAGGCTGAATAGCACATACTCAGTACCCACCCACTTTTAACTAGCCTTAAAAAATCAGTGATCTCAGTATTACAAGAGAGAGATCAGCAGTAGTGGGACACTGCAGTGGAGGGGTGTGTGGTGTGTGGAGGGGAACATAACATCACTAAGGGTAGAGGACCGGTGAGAGGCCCACACTTTACATTAACAAGTACATAAACAACTTGTGTACCTAAATCTAATTTATAAAATCATCTTTAAAATAAAGAAAAAAGTTTAAAAAAAAAACTCAGTGATCTGTCACAGAAACAAAGAACTGAATACCACATGTTCTCACTCATAAGTGGGTCCTGAACATTTATCACAATACTACAACAGAGGGACTGGCAGTAGCGAGACACTGCCGTGGGGGGGGGGGGGGGGAGGGCGGGGCATCACTAAGGGTACCTGATCCTAGACCCTAAGCCAGGGGAAGCGAGAACAAGTTGGAGGCCCAAACTTCACCTGCATATAGACAACTTATGTCCCTAACTCTGACTTTTACTCCACATCTTTACAATAAAATAAAGAAAAATAAGTAGAAGAGAGAAAAAAATTCAATAAAAAATGGGCTATTATTCATCCACTTACCACAGAGCACCGTCTATGGGACTGCTTGAATTACAATATAGAGGAAACACCTTTTCATGCAAGGTAGTAGCCAACTGAAACAGTCTCTGAAAGTCAACTGCATGCACATGGGTCCTGTGCCAGTCACTGGGGATACAGAGTCTAAAAAATCCAGCTTGGCCCCTCGTCCTCAAGAAACCTATAGCCTAGTGAGAAAACCAAACACCATCTCTACCATAACATGGATGCTAGCATGGTTTGTAGATGCCGTGCTATGAAACAGTCCTCACAGCCTCTCAACAGGTGTCTGGAACAGGTATCGTCTCTACTTCCTGCATGATAATAAAATACCCATCAGGAAACACCACTTGCTTATTAAAGTGTGTTTGGTACCTTAAAGGAGGTCATCTTTTGAACATTAACCTAGAAGGGAAATGTTGTCTAAGTAGGCCTTGTTTTTCCTCCGGAAGTGATGGGTTGTAACAAGCTTCATGTTTGTGTGCATGTGTGTGTTAGGTTTGGAGGAGACCAGCCTGTCTACATCAACATCATTAGAGACCCCGTCAACCGGTTTTTATCTAACTATTTTTTCCGTCGCTTTGGAGACTGGAGAGGGGAACAGAATCACATGATCCGCACCCCCAGCATGAGGCAGGAAGAGCGCTACCTGGTAAGTCCAGCTGCATGCAAGAGGTCTTCTCTTCATGGCCCGGGGGTAGCTCCTCCAGGTTGCAGGGCTGCCCTCACCTTCTGTGGCCTTCCTCGTGGCTTTTCCACAGAACTCAGTGGGGAGAGGATGCTTCCTCAGGGAGAAAGTGTTGGCCAGTGAAACTTGTTCCAAATGACTCAAATCCTAATGGACATTTTCTCAAGTGATTTTCTGGTTTCACTTGGCTTTGTTTGTCTTTGGTGCTAGGCTTTGGGTCCCAGAGGAGAATAAGTCTTTCCTAAGGCATCATGACCAGCACTGGCATGTTTAAGAAGAGCAGAGGTGTTGGGGCATGTCTCATAGAGGGTTGCAAAGGCCCATCTCCTCCCTCACCCCACTCAGTTCCCTTGGCAACCTTGTGAGGGAGAGGTGTTTTCGGATGAGGACCTTTCCATTCCAAAGGGATATAGAATTTGCCAAAGTCATCCCGTCAGGAAGGGTACAACCATGACGACTGTTTCCAGGTCCTCTGACTTCAGGGTCAGGGTTTTTTCCACAACAGCATGACAGAACCCTGCCATCATGAAACAAATTTGCTTGCTTTCTCCAGACCTTATTTTGGGGCCCTCAGCTCCATAAGGGATGTTGATCATGACCCCAGTAATTGTTTCCACAGTGCAGAAGTTGATAACAAAATACAGGGCAGAGTTATACATCTTTCTTCCAGCACCAGAAAAAGGTACGTTTCTTATCCCTGTGTTGACAAAGGCATACTGAGAAGCTGACAGTCTGGTGTCCAGAAGACTGAAATCCTGGTCTGTGTGTCTAAGAGAGCCCATTGGATTCGCTCAGACATATGCTGGGCTATCTTAGGGCATAAGTAGAAAAAGAAGTTTTGCGGGATCCATCAAATGTGCCCCCATGGAAAATATCACAGCACCTGTGCCCACTGCGGTTGGGTCCTCAGCCTCAGCCTCATTAGCTGAGTGAGTCACGTTACCATGCCAAACTAAAATCTGATGAAAGTATGTGTTTCAAGGCTGGGAACATTTTTGGATGATGTCACCTTTGTGTCACTTTTATGTTCATTATTAGAGTTGAGAAAACTGAGACACAGAGAAGTTACGTGTTTCATCCCAGGCTAAACAACTAGTTAGCAGGTGACTGAGACCAGACCAAGGTTGTCCACTCATTGTTCAGTATTTGTTCAGTCATCTATGACTTCAATTAAATATCTTGATTATATATTTTTAAAGTGGTCTTTACCTTTTTTTTTTTTAGTTTTTGATGGCAAAAGCTGAAATCTTTTTATTTAAACTATATGTTATCGATATGGCTATATATTTTTAATTCAGTAAGAAGTATATACTCAAAGTATAGGGCCACTTCCTAGGGCAGTAATGTCTTCTCAAATTATCTTTGTTTTGGATCTTGATTACTATGTTTATATATTCTTTTAAAAACACAGTGCATTCCATTTAATCAAGATAATATTTCAATGTTCCGATTCAATCCTAATATTAAGGAAGTTAGAAGCTAATTATAGCAGAAAATGCTAAAAAAAACTCAGAAAACAAAACAAAACAAAAAACAAAGAAATGGTAACAAGTCTTAGGAGCGTTGCTCTTCAAATATTAATCTAAGAGTTGAGGGGAATTCTCTAGATTTTTCTACTGTCAAGATTTTTTTATTATCTGTAAATCATTCCATATGACATAGTCTTTACACATTCACACAGATAATAAACTGTAAGTCATTAGAAGAAAAACTGCAAACATGAGAGAAAAATAAATCATGGTTTAGATTTTAAAAAAAAAAAAGCTCATAAAATATTGAAGTTGGTGGTAGGGGCAAGTCTTATATTTTTGAACAGCTGGTAACTGCCTTTACTATGTGACTTGTGAGATTCTAGGGAAATTTCCCTGCCTGAATTTGTAGGGGCCCCTTTTCAAATGTAAGCACTGTGTTCTGGAAGCATCTATGTCAGATGAGCTCATCAGAACAATTCTTGGCAGAGCCCCAGCAGGGAAAGCGCTGGACTCCCCAAAGCTGCAGAGCAGAAAATTGGGGCGCTGGGATTCAGGAGAGGAGGGCCCGAGGGTGGCCGTGACTCCTTCATGATCTGCTCCCAGCCTGACCCAGTTAGGAGGCTGTTTTTTTTGTTCAGAGGATAGTTTGTTTATTTGGAAGAAGATGGTCTGTTGCCTTTTATTTTTAATAGCTGAAACTTTTTATCCCATCTCCTTGGACACATTAAACCCTTGAAATAAAATTGCCCCCTTTCACAAGAGTCTGTCCTCATTTTGGCTAGCCTGGGTGGTCATTTGTTTGACTCAAAAGAGGGTGTTGTTTGAGTCTCAACTGGGCACAGGCAGCTGTGAGGAGACCACCGTCCTGTCCTCAAGGCCCTGTCTGGGGACCAGGCCCTGTGAGGGGTGCTAACCCTGGTTGCGAAGGCCATCCCATCGGGGGACTGTATGTCGAGGCCCTTCCCTACACACTGCACACACACACAGGGTCTCGGGTGCTGGCCTGACGTGGGTCCACTGATTCACCACACTGTTCCAGATCTCAGTGCTCCGAAGCGCCCTGCCTTATCCACTTGCCAGAAATCAGGCAGTTCTGCTCCTGGCCCTGAGCCTTGTGGAACTGCTTAGCATACAGCTGAGAGTGGCCAGCGCCTGCCGCTGAGCCTGCTCCCAGGGTGAAATAATATCATCCTGTGATGCTGCGTGGTTTGGAAGGAAAGGGAAAGGGTGAAAGGATCCTAGGATTTGCAGAGCCCCTGGAGAGAATGAGGACACTCATTTTCACCTAGGTCTAGGGAGGGGGTAAGGACTCCCAACCAGGAGGAGAAAGCAGACCTCAGGACGCTACAATGGTGCCCTTTGCCCCCTCGGACCTTACATGTTACTTCCTGAATGGAAAGGGAGAAGAGGACTAGGCCCAGTTCCATGCTTTTAAAGCAAAATCGTCTTGTGTAACATCACCTGTCCAACTTTACAAAGACATTGCTGTTACAGCAATTTGTTTTCTTTTCTGCTTTTCTTTTTTTTTTTTTCAAGTTGGGGTCTCATTCTGTTGCCCAGCTGGAGTGCGGTGGCATGACCATGGCTCCCCACAGCCTCGACCTCCTAGGTTCAGGCGATCTTCCCAATGCAGCCTCCCTAGTAGCTGAGACTGCAAACACAAACACACGCCACCACGCCCAGCTAATTTTTTAGTTTTTTGTAGAGACGAGGTCTCACTATGTTGCTTAGGCTGGTCTTGAATTCCTGGGTTCAAGCAGTCCTTCCACTTTGGCTTCCCAAAGTGTTGGGATTACAGGTGTGAGGCAGTAATTTGTTTTCAAATATTCAAGCATCTTATAGCTATTTCCCATATTTCCTGGGAACAACTAGGTTTTCTAAAAATGTGTAAGTCTTTCCAAACCCTTCTTCTTTTACATTTACCAGAAAATAATTTTTAAATGAGTGCCAGCATTGACGCAAACTCAACTTATAGCAACCATGCTGTGAAAAGGCAATTGTCTTAGGCTCTTTTCTCTTCGTCCAGAGCTGGAAATTTGGTTCCCTGGTATGGAGGTGGTGTGAGGGTTCTCTGAGCCCAGGCACACTAGGGCATATCCCAGCATCTGAATCTCTTCTCTAGCTAGAGTATAAACTCCTTTATTTCCAGGGTAGGGAAGTACCTGGCACACAGAACATATTGAATGAAAGAATGAATGATGAAAAGTTGTTTTTTTTTTTAATGAAAAGCAACTGTTATAATTTCCAAAGGAGGGAGGGCATCTCTTTCCTGCTGAAGCCACGCCCCTTTCCACTCTCTGAGCTTCCGTGAATGTGGATTTCTTGTGCTGTCATTTTAACTCTGCTGGTTACACATGCCAAGTTTTCAAAAATGTCAAGTTGGGCTCCTTTCCCAGTCATTATTGCAATCTCAGTAGGCTTACTCCATCTGAAGAGCAGGAAGACAGGAGAGGATATCTTCCCAGGGAGAACACTGCTTCTGTGACACTGTTTATTCGGCTTGGCTGCAAAATGTGGAAAGTAATATATGTTCAAAAAAAAAGATGCGTAATTTACAGCTTCTTAATTCATAAAGAATTCAGTGAATCATGTTAGCCCTCTTGGATTCTGGAGAAGCCTGAAAATTGGCCAGAGTCAGCAAAGGTTTTCAGAAAGCTATGCATTTCAGTCTGCTTGAAAATTTTGGGCCCCGAATGTTCTTGAACTTTGGAAGAACATAGGAAATACTGTGGAAATTTCCACTCCATCCTAACCAGCTGAGACTGCCCTGTGAATGAAACCTCAGGCATTACCTCCACTTCTTAAGCATCATTTTTCTTAAATAAAATGGGTAAGGGATTTGGAGTATCTACTTTTTAAGTATTTCAGTAAAGACCTGTTTCCTGAATCTTTGAAGATGCTTTGTCTCCAATTAGTTCAAAATTTAGCTTCTAATTGCCAGCTGAGCGAGGGACCTAGGACACGGTGTACATGGTTTTCCGTTTCAGTTGCCCCTGCTGGGTGACTTGGCCAGTGGTTTAACCTCTGTGGGTCTCCCTTGTCTCATCTGTACAATGGGACCATATTACCTGCCTAGCCTGCATCCCAGGGTTGTTGGAAGAGTCAATTGAAATTCTTCACAAAAGTGCTTTGGAAGCTAAAAATCTCCAGAACATATTTCCATATTGGTGCTCTCATCCCCTTGGTGCTGTTAGTGACTCCAAATGACCTAACGGGACCATTTACTACAGATGTGGAGCTTCTCTGCTCGGAAAATCAGCAAGGCCTACTGTTTTCCTGGGATCCAGGACACGCTGAGCCCTGAACCTTTCTTCAGGTCCACCTCTGCTGAGGTCTTGGATTGCCTCACTAGACCCCTTCCCCTGGGAACTTGTTTCTAAGGAAACTGCTACTCTTTGTGTTCTCAACAGCTGGAGATGCATTTTGATCCCAGCCTGCTGGCACATATTTGTCCCGTGTTTATTTACTTGGAAACCTAAGCTCCTGTAGGTC